AAGTTATGACTGAGTTAACGCCCAATGTGTGTCAAAAAAGGGGTCGAAAATTGCATCAAAAGAATCAAAGTTTGCCGCAGGTCGCGTGGAGAACATTAAAATTTTTTATTTTATAATTTTTAGTTTTTTATAACTTTAATAAATAATTGCAAAGTTGAAAATTTAGTAGTAGAAATTGTAGCTCTGATTGTAAAAGTGTGATTTGAAAATTTGTTAGCACAATAGTCAAACGTTTTTGCAAAATAGTCGAACTCTTGTTTTTCTCGAATATAAAGAAGTTATGTGGTTTTCTTGTTTTCTTTAACAATAATATACGTTTAGCAGTAATTATAATCGGCGATTTTTAATTTTTATTCATAATGCGGACCGTAATGCGGACCACTATAAAAATTGGGACCTTTTTATGAGGACGAGTTCGAAACATGGGCGCATTTAATATGCGAGTAGGTATTCTATCCTCTGAAAACTCGATATGAGAAATTACTGGTGCTTCGGTTGGATAATGAAGCAATGACCTTCAAAATACCGCAAATGGGGCGGTACCCTTAAATGGGGACTATTCCAAAACATAAACCCATTTATTTTTGCAATCATTGTTGCTCAAGAGTGCAATAAATTGAAATTTATCACAACAAATTTAGCTTCCTGATCCTCATTACCCACATATACTGGTCCACATTACCCGCCATGTTATTTTTATTCGCAGTTTAAAGTTTTTTGAAATATAATGCAATAACATTTTTATAGACTAATATAAATATTATTTGACCTGGAATATATTTAGACAACAAATCTACTATGTTGTGAGAACAATTTGTTTTTACTTTTACCATTATTACGCCCACAATATCAAAAAAAGTAAATGGTGGTCCACATTACACGAAGTTACCCTATATATACTAGCAAAGTGGTTTCCAGGTCCCTTCGATACTCCAAACCACATATAGTGCATTTTCTATTCTATTTACTATTCGTACACATAAATTCGAGCTTCCAAAGTTGTCTCCATCTGAATACTACACTTCAAGGGTAATCTATATTCCAATCCTCAGGATTCAAACAAATCTAAATTGTTCCAAATTTAGTACCATTTAGTACTTTTCATTGCCAGAATTTCTAAAAGTACATCAACCCTACACTCTAACAGCAATCTTAATTCCACAGAAATTCAAATTGTACCAAAATTTAGTACTTTTTACTAATCGTAATCGTAAGTCCAAATTTAAGAATTTTAGCTCTGTCTATTCATTAAAAACCAAATTGTACCCGATTCGGTACCATCCTGTACTTTTCGTATCCTTATTCCCATCCTATCTTAATATTCCAAACCTGGGTTCAAATAGTAATTCTAAGTCCAAATTTAAAAATGTCAGCTCTGTATGTTTACCAAAAACCAAATTGTACCATAATTGGTACCATTCTGCACTTTTCGTATCCATATTCCAAATCTATATCAATCCTACCCTCCCACAGTAGCAAAAGTTTCAACATTCAAGATTCGAGTTCTACCCGTTCACCAAAGTACAAATTGTACCAAGTTTTGTGCTTTTCGTACCCATAAGTACGTATTTCCAAAACTACCTCAGTCATGCGCTCCAATAATAACCTTAAGTGAACATTTAAGGCTTCCAGCTCTATCCGTTCACCCAATTCCAAATTGTACCAAATCTAGTGTCATTTAGTACTTTTCGTACACATAAATAGGATGTCTCTATAGCTCAATCTTCAAAAGTATTTTAAATTGAAAATTTAAAGTTTTCAGCTTTATAAGTATGATTTTTAAAATCTACCTCAATCCTGTACTCCAATAGTAGTCCTAATTTCTTTTTTTTTAGAATTTCTTAAACCATTTTTATACATCAACACCACTTCCCAACTGTATTCCATATAAGATTTGAAAAAACTCCAGCTATATATGTTCAATATATATACAATTAGAACTAAAGTTAGTTATGTTTAGTGCTTTTAGTACCCTTATATGTCGAATTTCTAAATCCTTGTTTGTACATCTTTCTAACTTTCCATCAATGACCCACATTCCAAATTCTAGCTCTTCCCGTTCGCCTAATACCATACCATATATGGTAAAGTTTAGTATTTTTCGTAACCTTCTAGTTCGAATTTCCAAAAACCCAACCTTATCTCACGCCTACACACCAACAACAACCCACATTCAAAATTTCAAGCTTCTATCTTAAGCCGTTTTGTTTGTGCGATGATCTGTTAGTCACTCACTAACACCTGTACCACACTGTGGTATAGGGTATTATGTCTTTGTGCATACGAATGCACGAATTTTGGCAAGGCGTACTTAATTACGTCGAGAATGACATAGATATAGCTCCCACATACATATTCTCTTCCGATTTAATGTAAATGGTGTACCAAAGCCCTTATATATCTTTCGATTAGCACACAATTTGGCATTGCGTACTGAATTGAGTCTAGAATGATATGAGTTTCAGATTTCAGATTTAAATATACCTCCTAAATACATTTTCTTCCGATTTTATTTATTTTTAGTGCACAATTTACTAAAGACCCAAAGTCTCTGGCAAGTCTCGTTTAAATCGGTTCTGATTTAGATATACCTTCTACATGTATATTTTCGTCCGATTTTAAGTAAACTGTTTATCAGATATTTATCCAAATAATTAACGGGTGTCCGATTGATATTTGCTTTTAATTGACGTACATAATTTTTTCCCATTGTAAGAAGCAACTCTATATCTGAACAAAAAAATTTAGTATGGGTTGTAGAATGACATGTTTATAGATCCAATTTCATGTTAATGGGGTTTCAAAACAAACGTCGGTCTGTTAGGATTCATTTGTTGAATATATCCAAAGTGGTGAAGGGTATCATATAGTCGAACTCTTGATCGTTTGTATTATTTTTAGCAGTCAAACAACGCTACTCGTGTGGAAATATATCAAATAATTTGTTGCAATATCATATATCAATATACTACCCTAAGTACTAAAGTTTCGTATCCCATGTTTAAATATTAAAATTTCAGATTAAAATCTCTCTAACTCCAAAAACGTGATCCAAATTGAAGCAAACGACATTTATTTCAAATATAATTTTGTTGTTTTTAAAAATGTGTCTCTGTTTTCTAAAAAGATCGGTGGTCTCTATACACTCCCAATCGGCATCAATACAGACCAATCGGTCTTTACATAGACCTGTGGTCTTTATAAATCCAATTGAAAATGCGTGAAAGGGCGGTTAAAAAGTGAACTCCAAATAACCGTAGAAAGTATTAGTGAAACATGGAATTCTATCACACCAAATGACTAATAAATTCGATGAATAATGAAATAAAAGCCATAAATAAATAAAAATATAATGTCATTCAATGCTAAATAAAATGAATTATTGTCGTACGAAGCTTTTCTGATCAAAAATAAGTGTTAAATTATTTTTATTTTAAAGAAAGAAATTTCAAAATGGGCGATTTAACACATTTTTAAACACAAGAACATTACCTTTCAAAAAAATGTTTGGTTCTGTGGGAGTTAGAGAGATTTGAAACTGAAGTTTTAATATTTTGACATGTGTTTAGGTATTATATTGTATACTAGCATATGCCCGCAACTTCGTTAGCGAATGTAGGAAATATTTAAAAATGTATTAACATATTATTTTATTTTCAGAGAAAACTGCATATGTCAGAAAAAAACAATCCACACATTAATATCGACCATAAATTAAATTTGAGTATGATTCGAGCTCTAATAGTTCACCCAAATCCACAAATTGTATCACCCACAATTCAAATTGTACCAAATATGGTACACAGTAGTAGAAATTTCCAAAACTTCCTACATACCCCAATCCTACACCTCCACACTGATACTAAATTCAAGTTTTAAGATTCTAACTCTATTTTAGGATTCCAACTCTATCGGTTCATACAAAACTCAATTCGTACTAAATTTGGTACACAGTACTACCAATTTCCAAACCCTCTTACAAACCCCAATCCTACATCTCCACAGTGATCCTAAATCAAAATTTCAGGATTACAACTCTATCGGTTCACTCACAATTCAAATTTTACCAAATTTAGTACACATTAGTAAACATTTCTAAAACTCTCAATCTTACACCTCAACAGTGATCCTGACCCCAAATTTCATTTTTAAACTGAATCCTGAACCCAACCCCACACCCCTACAGTGATCCTGACTCCAAATTTAATTTTTCCCGCTCTATAGGATCACCCAAATCAAAACTGTACCGATTATAGTACGATTTAGTACTTTTCGTACACATAAGTAACAAATTTTCAAAACTACGTTCATATCTCAAGCCTACACTCCGACGGTAATTTTAATTTCAAATTCCAGGATTCCAGCTCGATTTGTATCTCCAAATTAAATTTGTACCAAATATAGTACCATATAGTATTTTTCGTACACATGAGTACACGCTTTCAAATCCATCTCTCTAAATATACCCTACTTCTCAACATTAATTCACACTCCAAATTTCAAGTTTTTACGTAGCTATTCACATGCTACGAATTTGTACCAAATTAAGTACTTTTCGGATAGTTATAGTTCGAATTTCCAAACACGCTTTACTACACCTATCCTACACTCCATCAGCGACCACCAGAGCTCTAGCTCTATCGGTTCGCCAAATACAAATGTTATCACATTTAGTACTTTTCGTACCATTCTAGTACGAATTTCCAAAAACCCAGCCTTATCTGTCACCTTTGGACCAAGAGTAACCGTCACCCAAAATTTCAAGATTCTAGCTTCATCCGTTTCATCTGGGCGTTGATGAATCGTTAAATCAGTCAGTCAGTCAATCGCTTTACTCGTTTATTAGTATAGATATACAAAAGAACATCTAATTTATATTTATTAATTTTTTTAATTCCACAATTTTTTTACAGGACTATCTAGTATAAAACCAAATAAATCATCATAGCATTTACGCCATTTAATCAACGAACAATGATGTAATTTTCTTTCCACCGACTATGTTGCCAGACAAACAATATCCCTTAGCACACGATATTGAATTGAAAAAACATCAAACAAATCAAATCCAACGCAACGACTTCCATCAGCTGCCACAAATCTCTGAAATATCTGACAAATCTTTAAATTCACCAAACAATCGAAATATATCACTTCAAAGTCTTTTGACAAATCACCAAACACAAAAGAGGACAAACCCAACTACAGTGGCACATCGACAACAACTGAACATTGAAGTCAACGATGACAGTGACGAAATCGATGGTGGCAGTAACAATAATTATTGTAGTGATAGTTTTCTTGTTAAAAATATGAGTAACGAAAGGACCACAATAGCATCACTGTCAAGCAGGACAACATTAAATGAGGATGACATTTATACTAAGCAATTCGAGGCATTGACAATAGGGTCTTCCAACAGCAACATCACACCATCAAATGTTTGTCACCCTAAAGGCCAAGAGGCTAATGAGGAGCCTAGTGGTTTTGATGACGATGCCAATAACCATTCGAACATCTTTGACAAACGACATCAAGTTATGGCTGACGACAATATGGCTGATGTGGCTTCACAACACAACATCAACAACAGCAATGATGACAAACAAAATCTTGACAATACCGTAACACCACCAATGATGTTTGAAACCAACAACAAAACCGATTGTAAAGAGTATCACAAAGTTTTTAATAAAACCATTGACAGTGATGATGCTGCCGAGAATAGCGGCAACAATCACAAGACAACAGCAAAGACAGCTGTTGAACAGCGATCTGATGAAACGACTGATGTTGCTGACAACTGTAAAGTTGACAATGTTAAACACAATGAATGTCATAAAACTTTTAGTTCTTGCTCGTCTTTAGAATCTGCAGCATTGGCGACGTTACGATTGCATGCCATGCCAACAAATCAAACAACACACAACATGTCACTTCACATCAAGCCAGAAGAATATGTTGCGATTCCAACTTTGATGACTGCTGCCACTTTTTCTTCTTCTGCATCGTCATTGGAACACTCCGAGAAGCATAAATTTCAAAGCCACGAAGCAATGAATCAGCCGACATATTCATCTGTACCGTCACTGAGGCCGTCATATGATTTCATGCAACAAAGTTACCAACACCATCAGCTCTATCAGTATCACCATCCCCACCAGGAAGAGCAATTTCGAAGTCACCATCAACATCTGCCTCAACAGCAACACAAGCAACGTTTCCAGCATCATAATCATCATCAGCTATCACAACAGCAGTATACGGACAATGTTTCCTTCTTCCCCATCGCATCACATACTGCCTTACAGGAGAATTATGGTGTATGTTCAACTGGTGCCGGTGTGGGAGAATCGTCAACAACAACTTCATTGACCATATGGTAAGTGAAATTAATTGCATTGTTTCACAGTCTGTTTTGTTCATCATTTTTCTATTCAAAATAGCAATTGCTTGCCTTTTTTGTCCTTGTGTCAGTCGTTTATGGATCTGTCCCAATGTTTTGTTTTGCATTAGAATTGTGTGTTAGGGGTTGTGCAATGTTAGGCACCTTATGGAGGTATTTGACCCGAAAAATTATTAGTGGAATAATAGTTATCAATGGTTCAAGTTTCTCAGCGGTGATTTAAATGCCACAGTCGTAAAACCGAATTATGAGTTAACAATTAACATATTTAATGGGAATCCATAATAAAGAAATGCAACAATTTTGAATTCGAAATCGTGCACATACTCCAAAAAAAGGCAAACAAGTGTCAATCGATTTCCGATAGATAAATATCCTCAGTCTATGGTTTGCAGGGGTGTACATAACTACAGACATGTTTTATTATTTGTTTTATAAGGTTAGTGTTTTTAACAAATAGTAGACCATCTTTGGAGAGGTTCCAGAAGGCGTATAGACTCCATCTTCGGTTTTACCATAGGTTTGATAAAATATTACAAAGTACAAATAATGGCTCAAATGGGTTATACATTCGCTTCAAGTTAACATTACATGTTTTAAAAAAAGATATACAAAAAAAGAGATACAACTTTTAAAATGTCGACCCTTTGTGAGGGTGGTAGTTGAAAGAATGGACCAATAAGTCTCATTTCCTGTATGATACAGGTATGGTTAATATTATGTTGTGCAAAGTTTTGTTCATAAAAACCTAATAAAGGATTCGTTACATGGGGGCTACCACAAATCTTGGGTAGCAAAACTAATTCAATTAAAAACCAGTATAGAAAGTTGTAAAGTCGGACTGGGCCGACTATATGATACCTTTCACCACTTTAGGTATATTCGAAGGAATATTAACATGAAATTTAACAAGGAACATTGACATGATCTTTATCTATAAGTAAACCGACTAACAGCAATCCCAACACATGCCATTCTGCAACCTATTCTAAATTTTGCAAATAGATTTAAAGCAAACCTTACATACGCTATTTGGTATGCTTCACTGTATAAAATGTAATATCAATCCGGTACCCAGTTATTATTTGTTATACAATAAACACGAATATGTCGAAATTATATTTGGCAAGGCAACTTGCCAGAGATTAATTTATATTAATGTCAGTACGTTGTGTCAATCGGCCTAGCTTTGAGTCTTAAGTGCATCATTTATTTAAAATATGATGAAAGTATATATAGGAGCCATATATAAATCTGAACCGATTTCAAGAAAACTTGATACACGAAAGGTTATAGTAACTTCAGTACATTGTACATTGTGTGGCAGACGGCCAAACTTTTAGTAGTTAGTGCACAATTCAAATTAAATCGGACTTAAATATATAAATGGATAAAGTCAAAGTGTTCAAAACAGATTTTCACGAAATTTAACACGAATCGTTCCGGACTCACTTCAGTACGCTATGCAAAATTTCGTGCAAATCCAAGGATATATAGGGTCTTTGGTGCGCTATTTACCTAAAATCTGACGAAAATATATATGGGAGCTATATCGAAATCTGAGACGATTATCCCAAAATTAGCACTCACCATTCTAAATACAATTCAGTAGGCTATACCAAAGTTTGTGCAAATCAAATGATTTTCAGGGACATTGGTGCATCATTTACATAAAATCGGACGAAAATATATATGGGAGCTACATCTAAATGTA